ATGAACAGGTCAATTACTTGTAGAGAGATAATGCAATCATCATATAGATCTTAGACAAATATGGACATTTCTCAATCAATGAGAGATTTCCATTTCAGCTATCTCAAAAGCATATCTTCACATGAAGCTGTATAAAGAGACATCACTTACATCTAAATAACCATTTGCCAATGCAATAAACTTTTTGCATATCAAAATTAAAAAATCTCATAAGTTGAAGGTAAATATTGAAGAGTTTATGTGAAAAGAGATTTTCATATAACATTCAATATTAGTAATAAAGTATATTTACTGAATGAATAAAGAATTTGTAAATAAAAAAATTGCTACTAAAATAAGCAAGAGAGGATTTGATATTTTTAGTATCTTTAGCATAATCAAAATTCTTTAAGGGCCACATGAGATAGAAATATATGGAGAGCAATATTTATTCTAAAGCCATTTGACCCCTTTTAAAAAATTTCAAGAAATTTTTTTTTATTTTGAGTATAAAAATATGTGTGTGTGCGTGTTCATAGCTATTATTGACCCTTTCAAAAAAAAAAATTCAAAAAATTTCTGTGATGACAATACAAGCATGTACAATTAAACAGTTATTTTTAAAAAATTAAACTTTACAAACCTTTGTTTCTTAAAATCTGACAATCTACTAAATCTATATTTATCTAAACAACAGGACTTTTTCTATTTGCAAAGTTTTTAATTACTGTTTGATTTCACATTTGATAAGAACATGAATTTTGAAATCAAGAGTGAAATATTTTGTGTTCAGACTCAATATTTTATACTTCTAAACCAAGATTCATTTTTTTCTATTTCTACTTTAATGTATTTTTTACTATCTTTTACAAATCTTGAGAAATACAAATACATCTTCAAATATAATCTAGTACTTCCAATCAGTGAAAAATGCAAATGCTCATTTCAGAAAATATTTATCAGTAGTTTAATAAATTAAGTTTGCTACTTAAATAAGAAAAATCAGTAACCCTACAAATAATTAATAATTCTCAAAGTAAATAGTAAAAATGTGCCCCATGACTAAATTGCCCTAAACAAAATAAAATGACTTCCATTGACTTCTTGAAGTAAGAATTTCAATTCTAAAAATGAGAAATTTTTATTAAAAAAAATTGTTCTGGTAAATGTTTGCACACAGAAAATTAATATAATTAATAATTATTAATAATTTATAATTAATTTATGATTTTTGACTGGGAGTATTAATAAAATACTTCATATCTAAAATTTCACAAAATACCAAAATAAAAACAAGGACTGCTGAGTGGAATGTCTCAGTGGCCATTTTCAATGATTCCATTTATGACGATTTTATAAGCATAGCACAAGGTCAAAATGATTCCATTTATTTTACTTTAAAACCACAAAATATCTTATGAACATGCCTGAAGTAACTTTAGAGAATTGTTTACAAATTTAAAAATCAATAAATTGGATTCAAAATTATTATTTAAAATATGTTGATAGCATTAAGTTTACGTTGTTGCAAAATTTAAATTTTCTAAATTTCCAATAATGACAATCTAGAGTTAAAATGAAAAAAAATATACACACCTGTAGATTTACACTCAGTAAATGCACTCAGGTAAGCAATTCATATTCAACTCTTTGGTTTTAATCAGAATTAAGAGAAAGATCTTAAGAATTTATATGGCTTTGTTGTATAAACATTGTTAAAAGGTTGCAAATTTTTATCCCTTTTGTCTAATTCTCCACTAGTATAACTGAATTATTGTCACCTGGAAAATATTAATTCTCTTTTCATAGTTTTCACTATACAAAAATAACACAACTTTAGTCCCTAAAAACTGAAATATATCATATCTTGTGATAAAGTGGAAATTGTGTGTTTCTACATCTATACAAAATTTATTGATTTTTTCACCATAATCTAATGAGAGTTGGAAATGTATTATTTATCTTAACATCATCTTGTGTCTTTTATAACCTATTTGCACTACACACATCTTTTCATCTATATGAATGTAAATTTTTTTTGTGTGTGATTGAATAAGGATTTATGCAAAAATATGATATATAAATTTCTACATATCAGGACAATATTAGGCAATAATGTTCTCATTACCTTCCATCACCGATCAGACCCAGAACTTTCACCAAGCATGATGAATGAATGTTCCCTCAAGGACACCCCTTGCCTTGATCATCTATTGGGACTTAAACTCACCCAAGACCTCAACAGGAACTCATACATACAATCTATCACTAAAGATGCTGAGAAAATGCTTGGTTCCCTGTACTAATTCAACAAGTACTTCACTCTTCATGCTATCCTCTACTTTTACAAGAACAAGGACAGGCTGAAAATAGAGTACTGCTACCCTTGTCTAGTGTTAACTGCTATCTTCCACATATATATTTGCATAAGCTGTATCTCTTACTCTGTAGCCATCTACCTCAAGTGGCCCCAGGGCTTTGTACAAGGTGAACACCACTGTAAAAAAAAACCAACAATATAACAATTCACTGTCCATGCTAGAGAATATGAATAATTCCCCCCCCCCTGCAACCCATTACAATCCCTCTCCCACAGATTCAACATTGCAAGCCAATCACAACTGTGTCACTATTTCCATGTTCTGACACCTTAAATTCCCTACTTCCACCAGTTCAAACATTTACATCCAAAACCCACTGTGACAGGTACACAGGAGTAAGCCATCCCCTATAGGTAAGGAGGAAATTCCATTAGGATAGCTTCTTCCTAAGAGCCACTGCTTTGTAGAACAGACTTCCAAAAGGATGCTTCACTGACCAATACAATCTTAACCTCTTCAAGTCTAGGGTCAATCATTATATATCCTCATAGTCTACAATTCTTATGTCCATAAAACATCCTCATCCAACAACTGCTTTGAGTGGCTCTTGAGCCTTGAATTGGGTGAACAATAGCATAAAAAATTGATATAAGCTAATCATTCCTAGTTAAATATACCTCATGATATCACTTTTACATTTTACTTTTACTGCCTGGCTTAGCGATAGACCTCACCATCAAATAACTACTTAGATGCAACTAATACTTCTATCAACTCAACCATCATCATATAGAACAATCAAGCATGTAATTTCAACCTCATACTTTCTCTTTTTTAATCAAAGGCTGATATAAAGTATTCAATTCTATGCTAAATCTACTGAGGAGGTTATGAATGTTAAATCCTTCAAAGACTATTTTCCAGTGTGTTTTTTTTTAATTTCTTCCACAGGGGTTGGTGACATTCCACTGCCTTTACCCACTACACATGATCAATCATGACTGATTTCATCATCTCTCAGTGGATAACAGTTTTTTGTTCTTCAACCTTATTTTTACAGGCCAGCTAGTCTCATTATTCTATTCCTTACTGCAATTGCATGAAATGCTATGCACACAGTTCATATCAATCTTTTCATCAAATGGAGGCTTGGTTCTGGTGAAGTGTCTCTGAGGGGTGGGGCTGCTTTGCTTCTAATTTGTATGGAATGTAGATTCTCTGAATCCATTTCGATATACTACTGATGCAAGAGAATCTGTAGCAGTTTTCATCCAACTGTTGTTATATGTTTGGTTTGGCATTTATTAGTTTTACTTAATATGAGAGATAATGAAAAATTCATTTCTTCATGGAAGGAATTGAAGTTCAGATATTGCTTACAATGTATAGAAAACTTGAATTCCTAGTCGGTGAATGTTATTCTGACATCTAGAAAGTTCAGTTTATTGTTGGTTTTCTTTCTTATCAGGAACTGTTATAAACAAATGTTATAACACTGACTGGTCATATGTGGACAGAAAATGTGAGCTTTTGGCTAGAAAAGAACAAATTTAAGGCACTTGAGTTTCACTATGTGATTGTCCAATAAGATATAAACATTGGTTAAGTGTATATAATTATGATTATGATTTATATAAAAAATGACAAGTAGGATCACAATATAGAATTAAAAATATAAAATATCATCTACATTAGACAGTAGAAGGAAAACAACAAACTTCCATGGCTTAAAGAAAATGTTTGGTTTTAAATTCTCAAAAGGTCAAATAAATATGCCACTTAGAGGGTTCAGCACTCAAAATGTTGGAATTATAACAATCAAGATAAAGACACCAGATTGAATGAATCAATAAATAATAATAATGTCTAAAACTTAAAAATTCTGACAAGCACAAAGAAAAAAACTACAATTGACTCACTGACAAAATCTGTTTTTGTTGCTATTTTCCAGTAATAGACACACAATTGATGACTTAAAAAATAACATATTTCTTGTGAAATCAGTTAAAACAATAAAAGAACTGAAGAATATTTTCATTATTTTTTCAAACCAACCAATTCCTTTTATCAAGAATGACATATGTATTGAAATCATTTTTCAAATGTTTTAGTAAAAAAAACACTTTTTCTTTTGATAAAAAAAACAAATAAATGAAAAGAAAAGTTATTAAAATACCTCAATTGTATAAGAGAAAATCAGAATAATGTAAAGTTGATTCGTTCAAAAAAATGAAGTACAAAGTCATGGATGCAGAACTAAAAAGAGGAAAAGTGTAAAATTTTATTACAAACAAAAGAAAAATATGATTAAATAAAAAAGGATGTAGGGATTGCAAAGAAAGAAGTCAGAAAAGAAAATGTAAGTTGAAATCACAAGCAAAATAGAAAGAAAAGAAAAAGGATATAGAATGACAAACAAAGAAGGTAGAATAAAAAAGGATGTAGGTCTCGCAAGTAATTAAGAAAAAAAAACCCCAAAAGATATAGGAATCACAAGGAAAGATTGCAGAAAAGAAAACAGAGTTTTGGATTGCAAGTAAATAAGAAAGAAAAGAAAAAGTAAGTAGGGTTTGCAATCAAAGATGAAAGAAAAGAAAATGGATGAAGGAATCACAAATAAATAAGAAAAGTAAAAGTATGTAAGGTTTGCAAGCAAAAAAGAAAGAAAAGAAAAATTAGGTTTTATGGTTTAAGCAAAGATTAAAGGAAAGAAAATGGATGAATGGATTGCAAGCAGAGATGGAAGGAAAGAAAATGGATGAATGGATTGCAAGCACAGATGGAAGGAAAGAAAATGGATGAATGGATTGCAAGCAGAGATGGAAGGAAAGAAAATGGATGAATGGATTGCAAGCACAGATGGAAGGAAAGAAAATGGATGAATGGATTGCAAGCAGAGATGGAAGGAAAGAAAAAGTATGCAGGGGTTGCAAGTAAATACGAATGAAAAGAAAAGGATGTAATCATCACAAGTAAATAAGAAAGAAAAGTAAAGGTATCAAAAGCAAAAAGTAAATAAAGTAAAAAAAAAAATAAAAACGATATAGGAATTGCCAGCAAAAAATAAAGAAAATGAAAATGAAGAAATGAATCCCAAGCTAAAAAAAAGAAAACAGAACAGATCTAGGGATCACAAGTAAAGATAAAAGAAAATGAAAAGGTTGTAGGGTTTGCAAGTAAATAAGAAAGAAAAGTAAAAGTATGTAGGAATCACAAGCAAAGATGAAAGAAAATAAACCACATGTATGTTTCACAAGCAAAAAAGAAATAAAGAAAAAAGATGAAGGGATGGGAGTAAATAAGATTGAAAAGAAAACATATGTAGGGATTGCAAGTAAATAAGAAAGAAAAAAGAATGTATGGATCATAAGAAAAGATGAAAGAAAAGAAAAAGGATGTAGGGATCTGTTGTTAAATGAGGTTATATTCGTCTGATGCCACTCATATAACACTGAATGCTCCTTACCAATATGCCATTCCTGAATTCATGCACAAGTCACCAACATAAAAATCACTCTGCTTCCCACTGCTTCAGCCCTCTTTTATTATGCCAACATCACGGCTAACTGACCAATCAGCATTCTTCACTTTGTCTTAAGTCACAAAGTCAAAAAGCATCCTCCAGCCCAACCAATCAGCACACAAAGTGCCATTGCATAAACTGTATAAAAGCTAACATTACAGAATCAAAAACTTCCAGAATATTCTAAAAGGTGAGGAGAGATTCATGCCATTTTCAAGGAACAAAATATGGCTACTACATGTCGTGTATTGAGGTAAAGAAGTCATATGCAGCAGATGCAAGCCACACTGACTCATTTACTTATACGTAATTGTACACCATAGGATCAAAAGCAAGAATAAGAAGTGTGTGCAGTTCCCAAGTTAAGATAAAAGAAAAAAAATGATGTACAGTTCAAAAGCAAAAGAAAAAGAAAAGAAAAAGAATGTAGCGATCACAAGAAAAGATGAAACGAAACAAAAAGGATGTAGTTATCACAGGCAAAGATCAAGAAACGGAAAAAGGATGTAGGAATCACAAGAAAAGATGAAAGAAAAAAGTAAGTAGAGATCACAAGCAAAGATAAAAGAAAAGAAAAAGTATGTTGGGTTTACAAGAATTGATGAAAGAAAAGGAAAAAGATGTTGGGATCAAAAGAAAACATGAAAGAAATAAGAAAGGCTGTAGGTATCACAAGCAAATATGAAGGAAAGAAAAAGGATGTAGGGATCACAAGAAAAGATAAAAGAAATGAAAAATGATGTAGGGTTTACAAGAAAAGATGAAAGAAAAGAAAAAGTATGTAGGGATCACAAGAAAAGATGAAAGAAAGGAAAAAGTATGTACACATAAAAAGTAAATAAGAAAGAAAAGAAAAAAGATGTAGGTGTTATAAACAAAGATGAAAAAAAGAATCCAGGGGTTTGCAAGTAAGAAAGAAAAGAAAAGGTATATAGGGTTCATGAGAAAAGATGAAAGAAATGAAAAAGGATGTAGGGCTTACAAGATAAGACAAAAGAAAAGAAAAAGTATTTAGGGATCAAATGCAAAACCTAAGAAAGGAAAAAGGGTGTAGGGATCACAAGAAAAGATGAAAGAAAAGAAAACAGATGTAGGGTTTGCAAACAATGATGAAAGAAGTGAAAAAGGATGTAGGGATCACAAGCAAAGATGAATGAAAAGAAAAAGGATGAAGTGACAAGAAGAAAAGACGAAAGGCATAAAAAAGAACGTAGAGTTACAAGAAAAGATGAAATAAATAAAAAAAGTATGTAGGGATCACAAGCAAAGATGAAAGAAAAAAAGAAGGATGACGGGATCACAAGAAAGATAAAAAAAAATTGATGTAGGTATCACAAAAAAACATGAAATAAATAAAAAATCATGTATGGATCACAAGAAAAGATGAAAGAAATGAAAAAGTATGTAGGGATCTCAAGAAAAGATAAAAAAAAAGAAAAAGGATGTAAGGATCACAAGAAAAGATTAAATAAATAAAAAATCATGTATGGATCACAAGAAAAGATGAAAGAAATGAAAAAGTATGTAGGGATCTCAAGAAAAGATGAAAGAAAAGAAAAAGGATGTAGGGATCATAAGCAAGAAAGAAAAAAAAGAAAAAGGATGTAAGGATCACAAGTAAATACAAAAGGAAAGAAAAAGAATGTAGGGATGGCAAGTAAATAAAAAAGAATGCAAAAAGTATGTAAGGATCACAAGCAAAGATGAAAGTAAAGAAAAAGGATGTAGGTTCACAAGTAAAAATCAAAGAAAAGCTAAAAGATGTAGGTATTACAAGCAATGATCAAAGAAAAGAAAAAGAATATAGTGACTGCAAGCAAAGATGAAAGAAAAGTATGCAAGCAAAAAAGAAAGGAAAAAAAAGGGATGTATAGATTGCGAGGAAATAAAAAAGAAAAGAACAGAATGTACTTATCCCAAGCAAAAAAAGAAAGAAAAGAAAATAGATGTAAGGATAACAAGCAGAAAAGAAAGAAAACTTAAATGTTGTAGGGATCGCAATTCAAAGATGGAAGATAAGAAAATGGATGTCAGAATCACAAGTAAATAAGAAAGAAAAGGAATAGTATGTAGAGATCACAAGTAAAAAAGTAAGAAAAAAATTTACAAAATCATAGAAATTAATTATCTTGTGAAGTGAAAAAAATGACAATAAAAGGAGTATCTTAAGCTTCAGTGAAAAGTTCAGCCTTCCTCAGTTTCACTTTTTCATGATTCTGTTGAACCTTTCATTTTCTAAAGTTCAGCCTTCCTCAGCATTTTATTATTAGTAGTATATTTATTAAAGAAACCAAGGAACTCATAATAACATGAAAAATAAGAATTTATTCCAGTATATGTAATATTGTGTTAATGAAAGATGTTTCTTTGCCCTGTATATTTGGAATTTATTAATAAATAAAATTTTGCTGCACTTAATTTATTTGCATATTCATACCAATTTTATTGTGAAAGTATTGATTTGTTTAATACATACATACACCTAGAAAAATCAAGAGCAATATATTTGTTACTGTGTGTGCATGTGTGTCTTATTTGTGTATGCACATGCACATTGAAGGATTTGTTCACAGACACTTAATTTCACTTATCTGAGATTATTATTATTATTATTATTATTATTATTATTCCAAATAATATTAAAAAACAAATGTCCACAAAGCAAGGCAATACATATATATAGATATCGCCGTGCCTTAAAGCCATTAATGTTTGAGTTATCAAATACAAGAAGAAATAATTAATAATTGATAAAAAAAAAACATTCACTACTGAAATGTTTTTGTCTAGTAGATTTCATTTTTTGCAGTTCCTTTACCAAGTAAATATATATATTTTGTGGAGAGAAATGCAGATATTTGTCATATATATAATTCCTTATTATCCTGGATTTCCTTATCCCTGAGATGGGAGGGGACCCTATTTAACAAGATAAGAGGCCCTACTATATCTCCAATTATACAAGATAGGTGAGTATACAAAATATTACAAAAAATCAAATCTAAAAATTTTTATTTTTCCAGGTTATATTTTCATAATTCATGACATTGATTAATCTCCACCGTTTCAATGCACACATGTATTACACATGCAGAATTTCAACACTTCCATATTGGTAGGTAGATGGATGCAAATGTTTGTGCAAGTGGGGTCAAGAGCACTTGACAATCTTTGTCCTTGGTTATATGTATCTGCATAGGTACCCAACATGAAACCAACCATATTTCAAATCTAATCTCTATGAAAAGGGTGGTGAAGGTTACTGTAATGTACTACTGTCTGAATTTCTGGGATTAGGAGCAAAATTTTGAATCATGAATTTCACAAAATGCAGACTTTCTCAATTATGCCTGAAGAAGGTTTTGAGAATCATATATTATTGGCTTATGAAAGTAAATATCTGTCTATATCTCTGAGATGAGGTATTCCAATTACTTGCATTATTTACATTACTCAGACTGTTAGCAAGGAACATGAGGATAACAGTTTGAGTAATGTAAATAATGCAAAAAGTTAAATAACAATAAATAAAATAAAGAAATATTAACATTATTGTATGTAAGTTCAAGTATAGTTTAAACATTTTGTTAACTGGTGTTGGTTTCTTATTTATTTCTAATATTGGGCAATTTTTCATAGTGTAATGGTTAACAAGCTTGTCTCAATTTCAATTCACTAGTGAGTTTGATCCTTACCAGTCACTCCATAAGTTAATCAATATATACAAGCAATGAAAACAAAGTATTTTTCTACAATTTTTATTAGTTTGATTGTTTTTTACAAAAATAAATAAAATAATAGATTTTTATTTTATAGTTTGATATAATTAATTGAAATAAAAAATCAAAGTAATATTTTTTTAACCAAAGTAAATTTTTGTGCTGTGTTTACAAATATTTTTGGATACACAGGAACTTGTTAGAACAAGGTAATTCACAAATTGATGATTGACAAATTCCTATCTTTAGATGTACAAGAGAATAAAACTAGTGTCTATAGTCAATGACAGTTGACCTTCTGGCTATAATATAACAGTTTCTAAAAAAACATCTCCAGCACCAGACTACTGACCTGAAAGACAGATCCCAAGACACATCATCCAGTTCATTTATTTTTGTATTGAATCTTGGAAAATGTCAAACAGCAAAGGACAAAGTTTCAAAGATGACCGCTTGTAGCAGCTAAATTCTTTTTTAATCTAGTCACATTATAATGCTCAAAAGGATTCACTGAAAAAGATCAGAGATTTATCAGTGAAAAATATAAAAATCTCTGTTTAACTTTGAATATACATTCTGAATAAATCTGTTCCTCAGAGTTAGATATCTGTTCACAAACATTGACTTTGTCTATTCAGTAATACTTAGCTTCTCTGAAAAAATAAAACTACCAAAACTTTAAAGGAAGAATATTAAAGAGAAGCTTTAACTTTTGAAATTTCAGAAACAAATCTTGCAAGATTAACACACAACAAATGTAATAACAGCCTTTTCCTGTTACTCTTTATTTTTAATATTTTTGTTTTCAGGATTCTAGTGTGTGACAGGGGACTTTTCATAAAACCTGCTAAGTGGCATTATATACAAGAAAAGGGCACAAACTATTCTCTCTCGCTTGAACCACAAAATATTATAGTGAAAAACATGTCTTCTTTCCTATCCAGGGAGACATCTTAGCCACTGGTAAACTACATGAAGCATACAACACTGTTTCATACTGAAAACAAATCTCATGCAACCAAAGTAATAGTTCCCCAACAACCTATCACCTCAATATATATCTCTATCCAATACTAAAAAATATTCCAGTTCAACAATAAGACAACACGCACACAAGCTGATGAACTAATACTGTTATGAGTTTTCAAAGAAATACATTATTGGTAACTTTCTCACTCATAGAAGTTTAGTAGTTCTTGGGGAATAGATTTTTCTTCCCTTTTCTGAGCTATATTACATCTACTTCTGTATATACACATGCATTATTTATATATATATATATATATATATATATATATATATATATATAATTGACTCTTGAGATTGTTGAAATTTTCAACCAAATGTTGTTGCAATTGGTAACACTGTTACACTATTTTGACAATATTCTCTTTAAAAGATTTCACTTCAACAATCACCTACTATAAAAAAAATATTTTCTCATTTCATGCCCTTTTTCTTCATTTCAATCAATTTTTTTACTTCCTCTTTGATTTTTTGATGTTGATAAAGATTTCATAGCCTCATTCCCTTGTCAATAAAGCCTTTATATGCAACAAAATATCACTTAACATTGCTTCGGCTAAGAAAAAAACTATTATATCTAATTCTACTACTACTACTTTAATAAACAAAGCATGATAGCATGGGGTAAAATAAGTGTCTTATGAGATGAGGCCTAATGATGAAGCTCATGTGGTTTAATTGATTAGGCAGCTGTCAGGATCTCAATGATAAGAGATGCAAGTTAAAATCTTGAGAGAAGTTTATTCCTTATTTCCGATCCATGCCAATGATTTAATTGTCATAGAATATTGACATGAGAGTAGCAAGAAAGAACAAGAGAAATAAGAAATACAAAGTAAAAATTAAATAATCAACTTCCCTTTTATTGACATTTTTTCTTGCTGATTACAGATGCAATTCTTTTTTTTTTATCTCACATAAATCTTTACAGCCAACAACATTTTTACTTTACTATACAGTTATTTATAAAAAAAGTAAATAATAAATAAATATCTAAATAAATAATCATAATTCCTTGATGAATTATAAATAGGTCTCTGGGATTAAGCCCCTTGTCTGTCATGAGACTTCTAACACCTGCTAGGTGGTGTTGTTTGTATAAATCAGTAGACAATGGCAGGTGGGGGTAAAAGCTCTCTGTCTTCCTTCTATCTTCAACTTCAGGATGCCAAAGTGACAAGATATCTCTATGGAACTTCTTAGACCTTGGGTAGACTATATGTTGCATACAACTGTAACACTTTCACCCCAGCTCCTCAACCTCCGATGTCTTACTGCCTGGGTTGAGGTGTCTACTCGGTCCTAACCAAACTTAAGAGAGTGGCTGTAGTTCCCCTGAGCATCCGTAGATTATTCAACCGGTCCACTGGTTTAATCCTGCTTCCTGCCCACGTTGTGTTCCATTCATGGTTGACTGAAGATGTAGACACGGCTGGAGAGTTTGCACTAAGTAATTTAGAATGTAGCAAAAAAAAAAAATTAATATCTGCAGAAAGCTGGACAAACAACTATTCAATGATTGAATTGTTAATGTCTTTTATATAGCAGAAAAGAATAGTATAGAAAAGAAACGGGTTACAGAAAAGAAAAGTAATTGATGTAAAAACGCATACACTGGATTCTGGACACAGAGAGAGTGTGTTATTATTAACTTGTTGTTAAATCGTCTCAGAACAATATACGACTCTTGCGATGGGGGAATAAGATTTCTGTGCATGGCTTAAAGTTTATAGTGGCATTCCTCCTTAGCAGTAGAAAACAGTAGTAGTAATATTCGTGATAGCAGAAGGAGCTAGATGAAACAAAAATTGAGCTTTCTGGAGATAAATGATGTACAGAAGCTTTGGCGGAAGAAAGATGAGGCTTTCCTCCCAAAGAACACATTGGCAACATTAAAGCATGGAGGCAGCTCAATAATGTTTTGGTGTTGTTTTAGCACAACAAAGACTGGAAAATTAGTTGCAATAAGAGGAATAATGAAATATGGAGACTATACATCAAAATTCTGAATGAAAATCTACAACTATCAGTGCAAAATCTTCATCTAGGTCGGTGTTTTATTTTCCAGCAAGGTAATGATCCCAAACATATTTCTAAATCAGTGACTGCATGGCTTCAGAAAAAGAAAATTACAGTTCTGTCATGGCCTTAAATGAGTCCTGACTTGAATCCTAATGAAAATCTATGGCAAGAATTGAAAGTTCAAATAAATCATCAGTCACCAAAACACCTTCAGGAATTAGAATGTGTAACAATTGAAGAATGGAAGAAAATCCCAGAAAAACTTGTTTAAATCTCATCAAAAACTTTAGAAAGTGACTGCAGCAAATTATAAAGATGAGAGGCCATGCTATTGACTATTAAGATTGTGAAAATTCTTCAATTTTTTTCTCTTTTTTCCTACTGTACAAATAATTTTGTCTGTTCCTATTTTGCATAATTCACCTGCCAAATTTGTTGTATTTAACCTATTGTTCTGAAAAATGAGTTTTATATTCCTTTTTTTTTTGTGCTTATTAACATATAAAAACATGGCATCATACAAGCATTAGATTCTGAGAAATGGATAAAAATATTCAAAATCGATGGGTGTACAAATAATTTCATCACTGACTGTATAAGTCACATGTTGAATTCATTTCTTTTGAGATTGTGAAATCTTCTACCAAATTTGGTTACAATTGGTAACTCCTTTCTGCTACAAGCCTTTATTTATTCTCCCAAGCTACAAAGACTATTGGTACTACTATAAAGTAGATTTATTTTTGAAGATATTAGATGAATTCTGTTAGAATAAAAAATTTTTAAAAAATGGTGAGAGAGAAAGAGAGAGAACTACACACAAAGATGAAAATGCTGTTTGTGTAGAAGACATGTACATGCAAATAGAGGGTAAGTACCCTTTAGTTGTGCAATGCTAATAATCACATTGGACAAATAGCTGTCATCCATAGAGAAAAAAAACTAAAGAGCCAAGCAATTATAGTCTAACAATTATACAAGCATTTTTTGTGCGCTATCAATAAAGAAAAAACAAAAAATGTTCCATTACATTCAACATCTTAGCCCAAATTAAGAAATAGTGACGCTTCCAAGTGAGTGGTGTCTTGATCAGGTGATTGCTATGGTAACCTTCTCCATGCTCAACTCACCTTACCAACAGCACCGAAGAGATTGATCTCCAAGCTTGGGTTGGTCGGTCACCTGATATACTGATGTAGAGATTGGGGTTTTTTCCTTCTCTGGCTGCTCTTAAGCAGACAGTCAAGTCAGTCAGTCTCCAGTATTGTTGCAACGTGGAAACAAAACATCTTTTGTAAGTGAGGCAGCAAAATAAGGAAGGAGAAATAACAAAAAAAAGAAAAGAAAAAAGAACAAAATAGAAAGTCTACTGTATATTGCAGAAGTCACATGTCTTTCACACTGACTACAATTCGACTAATATTTTTACCTGTGAGTGGTTGTTTTATATCCATTTTTAACATTTTACAGGCTAATTTATATATATTAGTCAGGTATATAGGAAAAATGAAAGAAATAATGAGGAATACACATAAAATGCTAAAGTAATAATAATGTCCATAACCTGACATGTTAATCAATATGATTATTATCCATTCCCTACTACAAAATTAAGTGCATTACCAAAAAATTAAATTTTACTTATCTGCATGTGTGCGTATTTTTTCTTCATAATCTTGCAGACATACTGACTTTTTCATCTTACAGAATAAATATCCAGGGAAAAAATGAGAGACATGATTTTGTGTCAAGAAACTATTTTATGAGATCACTGGTGAAATTTAAAAAACATTATTTATTGAAAATAAGACTATGGAAATTTTCTTTTTGATTTATTCAATCACTGAGCTGATACGGCATTTTTAAGAAACAGTTATCATTACATTTTATGTTTTATTATACAACTATTCATTCATCAGAAAAGTAATGTTTTCCTCTTAATTGATACTTCATTCCTAGAGGGTATTTTTTTAGATTGGTTAGGTGACAAAATCAAAATAATTTTTATGCCTTTTGTACAATCAACTAAATAATTTGCAATAATTAATTGGATTCTCAAAATGCAGCAAAAATTAATTACTTATTTTGCAGAAACAGTGGCTACACTTTAATAAGTAAACTCTACATAGATTCTTTTTGTTATACACAATGTATTAAGGTGTAATATACAAAAGAATTTATTTAATTCTGCTATAATCTCTTCCTTTTTTGCTTCAGATTCTTTAAAATGTTATTTCCATATTTTTGTAATACCATAAATTTATTATAGAAATGTAATCAATTCTTTTTTTTTATATACATTGTTCTTTCAGGACATGGGAGACCATGTCTCTCCACAACTTCTCTTTTGTTACTCAAAGTACAATACAATACACCTCTTATTCTGCCACCAGTCTCTTTAAGTAGGTTACTTGCTGTTTCCTTCTACTTCTCTTAACTTCAATATGTCCTGTAAGTGGTAAATTCTCCATTCCCTCTTTTCTCATTATGTCTCTTTTGATTGTTAGCATCAATTTCCTTGTAATTCCTAGTTTTCTTAAAACTTAGTCATTACTCCCATGCTCTACTCATAGTATTTATTTATAATATTCAATGATAGAACCTCATCCCTATCACTTCAAGAGATTATCCAGTATTCATTGTCACATAGGAGATTAGATATTACATTGCAGTTCAGCCCTTTTTCTTTTATTCTAAAGGTTTTTTCCAATCCATTAATACTTTGCTCAGTTTATGAAAGGCACCTTTCACTATTCCTTTGCACCTTCATCTTTCTGTGTCACACATTCCATTATCAGTTACTACACTACCTATATAATTAAATTTCTTCATTTTGATATTCCCAATTTGTAACTCACAAATTCAGCTGTCTCTTTTGCTAACAACCATACATTATATCTTCTTACATTTCATCGTTAGTCTTTTCTTCTTACCTTCCTCAATTATTTTGTCTAATAGTTCTTTCTCTCATTGGACATGCAAATCATACATCAAAGGGTGATATTTGATGCAAAGAATAGAATATAGATATTGAAATCTTTGAAACAGACCAATGATCAAAATTTTACAAACAGACTTATGATAAAAATTCTTAGAAATAAGTTGTTTTCTTTTTCAAATGAGACTGAAAATTTCTAACTATTTTCTTTGAACAGATTGTAAATACTGAATTACACTAGTTTACTCATTTTTACTAGCAGGAAATGTGTAAATTATATGGATTTACTAATAAATCTTTTAATACTTTATTCTGTACTTTTCAACCCATGACCATTTCCAGATAATTATAGGAAAAGTGACAGTCTCTCTTACAAATACTGAAATGTCCTCAACAGATCATTGTCATAAAATGATTTAACACTCACTACAAAGAACTACCTTTATCTAAGGTGCCCTCTTCCAACCCTGTCTGTGTTATGCTCTCTTTTTGTTTTACTCTCTAGGCCTATTTAACTCTCTATGTCCTATTTTTCCATTTCCCTTTCAGATGCTCAGAACAATGTGAGTTTTATAGGATTTCTAATTAAAATATTATCATTTTTATTATACTACAAAATGATTAGAATTATTAAAGAAAGATTTGAATCTCAAAAAGTCACTTTTGGTTCAGGGGAAAATTTGTCGTCAACAGCGAAACATGATTAAACTCCTCACTACAAAACAACTGTCATTATCTAAGATGACCTCCCCCTCCAATCCTTCTCTGTGTTGCACTCTCTTTTTGTCTCTCTAAATCCCCCCTTCCCTCTTTCCTTCTCTGTTTTACTCTCCATGTCCATCTCTAATTCTGTTTCTCCTCTCAGTATATGTGATACCCAGCATGGCACACACCATATATAGGTACAAGTGTATATTAATATATAGATTGTTATAGTTACAGCATTTTAGACATTGTATGCTCTGCTCTTCTTCAGGTGTCAGGTTCAATATTACCAAGTTACCAACTACAAAACCTCAGGCTGAAAGGTACAATATCAGAAACATGACTATGAAAACCAATATGAAAACTGTAGTCTGAGTAAATCAGTGCCTAATAATAATAATAATAATAATAATAATAATAATAGCTCATCTCAAAGATTCAGACAAAAAGAAATAAATAATAATTCTCTAATCTTTACTTCATTTCCATTCATATTCAATTGTTTCTGAAAGCAGATCTAAATGAGCAAATTATTCTCATTACTTTTTCATAAAGTTCCATATATATATATATATATATATATATATATATATATATATATATATAGAGAGAGAGAGAGAGAGTGAGAGAGAAGTACAAATTAGATCTATTTTGATTATGTTTAAAACCAGTTTATATCAATAAAAATTATTTTGCTTAAATTATTATTAGCAACCATGTCTTTCTATTGATGTGAGAAGGAAGTGTAATTTCTGTGGATAATCAACATGACATTTAGGTTTTTCTTTTCATAAATCCACTAAAATCTATCTGCCCCCATGATCATTGCTATGAAAAGTATTTGAGGCTATGTGGTTTCTTTAGATTTGCAGGTAGTGTAAGTTAGAATTCCAATCAGGTTGATTATATTCACTTACATGCAAATATCCTTGGGAAAGATATGATCCATATCCTCTACCCTAGCTATGGGTTAAATAGTAGAATTTGTAGCTAGAACAATTATTGCTATTCTCAAAATATTAATGTAAAATATTTTGCACTTGCAAAAAAAATCATTATTCTTACAATCTATTTTGACTTAAAAAACAAATAAATCAATTGTGGTTTCTTTTGAATAGCTTCATGAAAATTCTGTCCATACTTCAAAAGAAAAAAAATGAAGTAATTAAAAACAAAATTTTAAGTTCAATTCCATTGACCAGGCATATGAGGTTCATTATATAAATATAAATAAATATATACAACAGAAGAAAAGCTGATTCAGAATCAATATCAGTAAATTTGATAATTGTAAAATATACACTAAACATGTGGAAATTTTCATTCATTACCAGTTTAAGCTTACATTTCTTTTACTCTCATCAATGTGTATCCATTGTTTATTTCAAAACAATCATATATGCTAAACAGAATTGATTTGTTGATTTTCCCCATTTTTACCAAATTTCTTTCTTAGTTAATCTAACAGCTCATTATTTTTTTTCCTTAAAATCTCATCACAAGACATCTTTGCTTTTTCTGCAACTCTATTATTAACTTTTATTGATCAAAGACCAGTCACATGGCAGAAGTGATTCAAATCAGAACAGTCAAGATTCAATGTTGCTTCAGCAAATCTGAACTAGGCACCAACTGCATGGTCAAATAATCCCAAAATAAATTTTTGGTAGGTCCACAGGTTATCAGCAGCACTTGAGAATCTTTTCTGAAAACTCATTGAATGTTGATAACTGTAGCCTGACATTTACTCTTCTGCACATTGTCTCTTCAAAGCATGAGACTTCAAACAAATAAAACTTAATAGCCGATTGACAATGCAGTTTATCAGGAAGATAATTTTAGAATAGCTTATAAAAATCTTTATTAGTTATTAAAATAATTAAAAATAATAGTTAATTAAAAAGTGTAAATATATAAATACTAGTGTAAATTTGTTTTATACATTTACTTTTGTGAAAAATGTGTTAAAAGAAAGCCAGACAGTTTGTGAAAAATTGTTAGATTTGTGTGTAAAAGTTTTTTTATTTAGAATTGGCTCTAAAAAGGACTTCCAAAATTAATGGTCATGGCAGACTATTAGTGATTCATTTTTTCAAATTTAGAAAAATATATTCCACTTGTATATTTTGTCCAAAGTTGAGGCTTGTTTTCACCACTTTTAAGAGTATATAAGAACACTTATCAGATGAAAGGCAAAAGATACACAGACATCAGATGCAAAAGAGGTCATCTGGCTACAGAAGGGTTTTTAGCATTAACTTGTGAAAGTTGGTAGATGCTGCTAATAGAGGTAAAAGGTTTCAGCATTCTCAAGGACTTTCATGATGACAAAAAAGAACAAAGAAAAATCAAAAACTGACCATGGCCTGAGCTGATGAAAAGGAAGCTCAAAGGAAGCATGAAGAAAACAGAATGACATTTCAAAACATTGTTAAAGTTACCAGAGACACTCATGTGATAATGCAAAATAAGTTTTGTCATATCTCTATTAGGTGAGTGCACCTTTCTCTAAAGAGTAATTTTATTCCTTTTTTCAACAGTCTTTGTATCACCTTCTCAAGGTTATTTTTGCATGATCTGAAAAATATTATAAATCTTTTTTGGAGCCTATAATTTCTATAAATTTATTCTGTTATCTTGCCTTGTTCATAATAAGGCACACAAAAGCAATTTTTGTGCAAGCGTTTTGTGAAAATTTTATTTTTTTATATTGTCTCATGTCTATGTAATAAATGTTTGTCCTTTCAAATTTCACATAGTAGTTTTGAGTCTTGTTTGTTACTGTAGGCAACTTTTTTAATATCTGGGATGAGAGAGGTGACATTCTCTCTTCACCTGTCCCCCTCCAAACTCTTTTAATTTTTCAGTAACAAACATTTTTACATCAGGTTTCTTTTATGATTAACTATTTTTAATATGCTGATCATCATTTTATCTTGATATATTTATTTAATAGGATATTATTAATATCAATTTAATTATACAGGCTGTTAATATATTTTAGTTAAGTGCACTATATATAACTTTCCGGAAATAATTAGAGAGTGTTAAATTTTATTATATAAAAGCTAATGTTGTTTTGTTTGGTTGTTTTG